TACAGAGTAGGAGTTGGACTTATAAATCAAATTATTGTCTGTCATTTTCTTTGCTGCTAAAGGAACTTCAGATCAAGTGAATCATTGGGAAAGCTATCCAAACTGATGCTCCTCAGAAGTAAAAGTTTCACATCTCAATATCATGGCAATTATAAAGATTTGGAGTTAATTAACCTTTACTCAGTTCCTACTATTTGCCAAGTTCTTGTATAAGAAATCATCGCTATTACCCGTTGATTAAATAATAACCATGTGAAGCAGCTATCTTTGTCCAGGACATATTGAAGCTCGGGAAGGTTAAATGAGTTTCTGAGGGACACAGTGGAAATTGATCTGAGGCTGGAAAGATAAGAGCACTGCAGAAAAGAAGTGGTCCTTTAGCAAGTTGACTTGACAGAATTTCTCTCAATTGGTTTAATAATTACTATTATTTCTGTTTCTTCAAAATAAAACTTTGGAAATCAGTACAGTATAAAAATTTAGTTTTACTTATTTTATTCTTACTGATATGTTTTCTAAGTTATACTCCCTTTAAATTCACTGTCCAATAACAGGTGTTGTTTCCCGAATTAAATTTCTTCATTTTTATCAAAAATTAAATATTAACTACTCATGTAAGAAGACAGTCCTGCCAAGTACTAGTGGGCTATGAGTAGCACCTGCTTTTTGCTTTCCATAATTCGACTTTGTTGTTTTATATCAGGAGTCAGATTGAAGTTCTACGTGACTCAAACGGGTGTGTCAGATAGCAGACTGGGTGAGTATAGTGCCTCCCTCAAGGGCTGCCACAGAAACATAGACCCTGGTCTGTGAAGTGGCAGGACTCTGCTGAGTTACTTGCAGCTGAGGTCAGTGTGACCCCAATTAAAATCCTTTCCCCTGATTTAAGGCTTCCCACTGACCCAATGAATTGCATGCTAATTGCACCCAGTCCCAGTATCTATTTGTTCTGTCCAAGCAAGATAAGCAGTGCTTACTGCCTCACAGCCCTGCCTGGCACCATCATGCCAGGTGTTCAGCATTATTTCACTAGATGCGTTCAAAGCATACCTGGCTCCCTATTCCTTCCAACAATTATATTCAATAAATATTGGATGTGCTTGGGGGCCTTTGTCTCTGTTGCCATCAGCAGCACTGATCTTGCTTCAAGACTCAGCTTCACTCTAAGTCTAGTTTCCTGTGTTTATTCTCTTGCCTTGTGCTGTGGTAGCTCACAGGAGGTCAGGACCCACGGCAGAAGTTCTGGCAACATCCCCTTCCCATTTCCCTATATACTCAGAGTTCATTCATTATTGGAATGGAATATTGGCTCAGAGGGAATTTATAATAATATATCCAGATGAGCAAGGCGTGGTGGCACATGCCTGTAATTCCAGCACTCAGGAAGCTGAGGCAGGAGGATCACCATGAGTTCAAAGACAGCCTGGGCAACATAGTGAGTTCAGGGCCAACCTGAACTAGAAAGGGAGAGAAAAAAAAAACAACTAATAATAATACATCCACATAATATGAAAATGCTACATATTAAAAAGCTAATTTGTTGTATATTTATAGGTATCTGTAGTGGTTAGGTAGATTTTGCAATAATTCTATTTCTATATCACAGTTAAAAACAAAGTAGAATATAAAGTGCTTGGAAATCCCCTCAGCTAGTTTGTCAAGCTCATCAGACATATTTAATCTTCTATATAACTGCAGACAAGATATTTGCTAAACTCTTTCCCACCCGATAACAAAAGCGATTCCTGTTATTAAATGCCAGGTGACATCTTTATTTACTATAGTGAGTAATTTCATGTGCCAATTTGATGGTGTAGAGGAATGGACAGATAGCTGGAAAAATATTATTCTTGAGTGTCTGCATTATGGTTAATATTGATTGTCAACTCCACTAGATTGAGTGATGACTAGGAGACTGGTAAAGCACACTTCTGGGAGGATTGGTGGGCATTTTTCCTGAGATTATTGACATCCAGGCCAGAACACTGAGGCAAGAGAACTCACCCTGATTGTGGGCAGCACCATCCAATAGGCTTGCAGCCTAGATGGACTAAAAATGTAAGGAGTACAAAGTTGGTCCTCTCTTGCAAGCTCAATTCTGCTCGAGTGGATAAGTCTTTTGATGTAGCTATCACCCACAGAATTCCACTTCTTCAGCCATGCAACATGGACTCTCACAAGTGACTCTCCAAGGAGCTCCTAGGCCTTTACCCTCAGATTGATACTGGGTCCTTAATCCTTCTTGTTCTGAGGCTTCCAGCTTCTTGGGCTGAGAAGCTACTGGATCCTCTAACTCCTTAGCACGCAGATGGCCATTGTGAACTATTGAGCCTCAATAGGCATAAAAATAGAAAAAAATATAGAAATATATTTTTCTCTAGAGAACTATAGCCAATACTGTTTGTGAGGATAATTTTGTATGAGATTCACATTTTAATCAGTAGAATAAGTAAAGTTTTTCCTCCTAGGACAGTTAACTGATTGTCAACTTGATTGGGGATTAGCAAAGCCCATATGTATCTGATCCCTGGCCCTTTTCTCTTGACACCCTTTGCAATCCTGTTTTGCTTCTAGATCACTGTAAATCAAGCAGTTTTGCTCACTCACAGCCTCCCACCATGAAGTTTCTGCCCTAAAGCAGCTCACCATGGACTGAAAACCCTGAAATAATGACCCAAATTAAATTTCTCCTCCTTTAAATTGTGTCAGGTATTTTGTGGCAGCCATGGAAAAACTAAAATACACCTCCCTACTGTGGATTGGCATCATCAAATCCATTCAAAGCCAAAATAGAACAAAAACTCAAAGGAAGAATAGATCTTTTTTTTTTTTTTGACCTACGACATCTTCTGTCTTCAAACTTCCATCACTCTTGGTTCTTAGACCTTCACACTTGGACCAAGATTTATACGGTTTGATATTTTTCCATTTTAAGTCATTGTCTTACTTCATATTGTGAAATCATTCTCAAAAAACTTACTCCTGTCATTTATTGTTCAAGATGATTTAGGTTTCCTTATAGATTGTCCTCAAAATCCTTCTAACTGCATCAGTATTATTTATATCTGTTAGGCAGCCATTACCTTCCAGTCACCTACTGCTACATATTCAGTTACCCAGTAATGTTGGAGCTTAAACAAAAAAAACTTATTATCTTACAATTTCTGTAGGTTAGGAACCTCGGTCTGGCCTTTTGGGGAAGACTTCTGAGTTGGATTCTGTTATATGATCGCAATGAAGGCCCTGGATGGGGCTGTGAGTATTTTAGGACTGCACTGAGAACATCAATTTATGCTTATTCACAAGCTTTGAGTATGAACGAGCTACTGAGCAGGCATCAGTTCCTTCCAACATAGGCTTCTCTTTAAACAGCTTAGGACATGTAGCAGGCTTCACTGACACAAAAAAGTGAGAGAAATACAGAGCATGAACATGACTATTTTGTAACCTAGTCTTAGAAGTCACAACCTACCTTTTGTCATCATCTGTTAGAAAAAAATCTGTAGGCACAGCCTATTTTCTAAGCAAAGGAATTACATAAAGATTGCATACCAAGAGTTGAAGATGACTGGGAATCATCGCAGAGACTGCCTGGCACAAATGATTCCTGAGTTACAGCTTTTATATTATACCCACAAATAAGTTTGACACAAAAAGAAAGCAAAATAAATTCATTAATAATATATCTGTGGAGCAAGGGAGAAGTCCTTTAGAAAGTTGCATAGGAGGGTGGCATATTGTAAGCAAATTAAGAAATGTTGTACTCTGGAGTAGAATTCACCAAGCATGGTAGCCAGCTGATACCTTCCAGGAGAATTTGTTCTCTGGTTTTAGTTTTATAGTATTTTTCCCTCTTTCTCTCTCTGATACAGTTAATTTCATATATCAATTTAACAAGAGTAAAGGATGATAAGAGATAGGAATGATGGTGCATGTCTGTAATCTCAGCACTACTGAGGATAGCAAGTTCAAACCTAGTTTAGACAACTTAGCCAGATATTATTTCAAAACTAAAAAAAAAAATGCTAGAGATATAGCTCAGTGTGAACTTCCTGGGTTCAATTCCCAGTACTGGGGCTACACAGGAAGGATAATGAGGCAGCTTGCTAAGTATTTTTTCTGGTTGTGAATTTGAGGGTGTTTCCAGATGATATTGATTTTTGTATATGTGCTGCCGAAGCGAGCACAATATTGATTTTTGAATAAGCAGGCTGAGTAAGGTCTGTCTTCGCTCAATTTTGAACAAGCACTGTCTTATAGGTTGAAGGCCTGAACAGAAAAAAAAATAAAGGGAATAAAAACAAACTTAGTCATTCTCTCCCTTTTGGATCTAGGACCCCATTCTTCTACCCTTTTGAAGCCCAGAATTCTAGGTTTTCTGCCTTTTATACACCAAGATTTGTACTAGAAACTACATTACTTCTGAAGCCTTCAAATGTGAACTTAACCACACTAACAAATTGTTGTTTCTCCAACTTCCAGACAGCACATTTTGGGACTTTTTAAGCTCCATAATCATGTTAACTAATTCCCCTAACAAAACCTGCCTCATCTTCCTCATATACAGGTCTATATATCTCTCTATTACTTATTAGTTCTGCTCTTTTGAAGAACTAATACACTGCATAAACTACCTGAACATGCACATGTATTCCATGAATTGAACTTTTTCCAATATATTTTAAGATACAGACGAAGAAAGACTGAAAATTCACCATGCACCTGGGAGCATAACTTGAAAACTAATGACCACTAGGGTGTGTTAACGACTGAATTAGTGACATTCTCTGAAGTCAAACTACGGATTATTTTTAATGCTAAAATTAGAAAAAGTGATAACAAGAAATAAAGATAAAATAAGTTAGTGGAAATTTTTTACCTCTGGAATATCGTAAAACACCAAAGTATTTAATGTCATGTACTAAGAATGTGCTTTTAATCTTTCACATAAAACATAAGCTCTATATAATTATTTCTGACATACAGAATACAATGTATTTTAATGTGATCATCACAATAGAAAATGGATATGAAGACTGCTATTTTGATGATGACAAAATTAAGGTTCAGATTAACTAAGACCTTCACACAAGGTTAGGAGAGTGGAGACAGAGGGTTATAGAATCCTTCTTTTGGGATTTTACCTGCCTGCTTCATCACAATTTTTGGAAAAGCTTCCATTCTCCTGCCATGTGATTTCCAGTGTTCCTTCTTTTCCTCATGGTAGAATCAATTTTTTGGAGCAGAGAGTGAGCCCTTCAGTAGACATGAAATCTCCTGGCACTTTGGGCAGCAACTATAAGAAATAAATTAATATTGTTCACAGATTACCCAATCTGAGGGATTCTATGATGGCAGGTCGAATGCACTGTCTCTCTCTCTCTCTCTCTCTCATTTTTATTACAAATTTCCATTGCAAGTGATATTGTGCCTATGAATGTATTTTTATTTCAGATGTTAACATTTAACTATATATTTTGAGTTTCCCTATATCTACTGAAATTCTTTTGAACCATTTTTATAATATCATATACATGTAATATCATGCATATATATAATAGCATAATTGTTGGAAAGTGGCACATCTATACATTTTTTTCTAGAAAGTTTAATGTGGTATATGGCATGTGTATGTTTATGGGAGAAAAGAGATATTATTTTCATTTTTTGTTGTTGTTTATTTGGTTTTTACCCCTGAAGGCACATTCATTCACCCGAATTGGGGTTTCAAATTTAATTCCACAGAGTTCCCTTGCAGTTATATCAACTCCCAATCACTGAGAAGAGATTTTTTTTTTAAATGTACTAGCACTTATGCTGGGAAAAAGTTACATGCATTTTTTTTCTCCTTACCAGTTCATTCTTTTTAATTGTGCTTTCTTGAAAGTAGTCTTGGAATGATAAAGGCTATTAGACCAAGAATTTTGGTGGTCATTGTAAGGACTGTGTAAGCTAATACAGCACTATGGAAATCAGTGGGAAGACTCCTGACAAATCTAAGACTAGAATATCCTGTGACCCAGCTATCCCCCCTGCTAGGTATTTTTCCAAGAGAGTTAAAATTATTGTATTACAGGAATACACACATACTCATGTACATAGCAGCACAGTTTACATAACTAGATCTTGGAAACCACCTATACTTCCATAAAGAGATAAATGGATAAGGAAATGTGGTTTGTACACAATGGTGTACTACTCTCAGAAAGAAAGATAAGCAAGGCATTTTTAGGTAAATGGTCACAACTTGGGAACATAATGTTAAGTGAAATAAGTCAGTCACACAAGTTTGAATATCGCACTATATATATATCTGATATATATATCATATATATGAAACATACACAGAAAGAAATAGAGAGCAAAATAGAAGATAGATATATAGGAAGATGAGGGGAGTTCAAATAATTCCTTAATTCACCTATTCTGCTCTTTTAAAAATAATTTAATACATGCACACATTTTTTCATTTATACTATTTTCTCTTAGTTTATTGAAATGAAAGTTTTGCACTATTGTCTGTTTCTTCTGTGTAAGGGAGAATCTTCTTGTCTCTGAATAACTCCTTTGAAGATAATTATACACTGTCTATTAATTATTGGTTTTCTATTGTGATTTTGTCATGAAGTTTTTTACTTTTTCATAAAAAAGTACATTTCTAAATCAAGATACATTTACAATTAGTTTGAGAATATTTGCACTAGCTACATTTTCTCACTAGCAGCAAGGCCTCGATCTGAGCCTTGCAACCCTGTAAAGTCCTCACAGAGATGGGGAGATGCCCAGGTGACCCACCTGACCTTCAGGACACAGTGTGCAGTGGCCACGGGTGGGTGAGATCAAACTTGAAAAGAGGGCTGAAGATGAACCTGAGGTTGCTGCCAGGTCTTTCTGTCTGGACCTAGGCACGTGCCTGTTACCATGGCCATGAGATCAGCCCACTTAGAAGAAGTAGCTTCCACTGTCCACGTCTGCTTCAGGACAGGAGAGCACATGGGGACACCCTCAGGATCTCAGGACACAAGCACCAGAGGGCTTCAGGAATAGGAGCAGGGAGAGGGGATGGGGGAATGGTGGGTAAAGTGGCGGTTGGTGGGATGGAGGTGGGGGGCAGGAATGGAATGGAGTGGGGTGGGGCCAGCAGGGGTGAGGGCAGAGGAGTCACGCTAGGGAAATGCTAGTATTTTCAATTGTAAAAATGAGTTCTTTAGATAGATTTTTCTAAACAAAATCCCCCACTTAAAAATACAATCCACTGGCATTTAGTCCATGATGGGATCTGTAGCATATTCGTCATCCCAGGGGGAAGTCCTTGCAACCCCTTAGCAGTCCCAACCACTACCCTCTCTGCATTTGCCTATCTGCACCTTGCCTGAGTGTGGAGTCATTCAATGACCAACCTGTTAGGTGTGGACTCTTTCACACAGCAGACTCTTGTCAAGCTTTAACCACACAGCAGAGTGTAAGAGTAGTTCACAGCTCCTTATGACTGCATTCTACCATGATCTATGGGCAGAATGTGTTTCTTTCCCACTTGTCCATTAAATGGTAGACAATTGGATGGTTTTCTCTAGCAAATGTATGTGGCATTTCCTGCGAGCTTCTCTGTGTCCTGTAGCACCAGGTTAAATTTTACCCCATTCCTAGATTAAGCAATAGAGCTAGCAATTGGGGAGCTGGGACTTTAACTTCAACTTTCTGACTTCAAAAATCATAGATTCATGTGACAGAAGAATCAGAAAGATATGAAAAAGTATTTCATGAAAAGGCACCATTCTCCACCTAACAACTTCCAAGCTATAGTCTTCCCTTCTCTCTTAGGCACATCTGCATAGACCACTTGGTCCATCCTTCCAGAGAAATATTGGACTCATAGCAGCATGTGTACCTATCACAACTGATGGAATACTCTGTCCCACTCACGTGAAATTCCTCTTCCTTTATATTTTGTTAAATCCCAATGTGCATTTGAGTTAGTTTTTCAGAAATATTTAGGGGCGTTTCATATGTGCTGTTTCTCTGGAATCCTTTTCATCAACTTCTAGAACCATCCCTGAGATCCATCTAGGCACCCTGAAAGCTGACTACCAAGGAAAAGGATTCAACCTGTAGATTTCCTCACCCAAAGCCAGCTTCACACAGTCTCCACAGGTTAGGACTCAAGCCTGAGTCACGTTATTGCAGTCACAATAGAAGGTAGTGAGGAGCTCGCTGACCAGAGGATCAAAAGTGTAGGCAGTGCACTTCAAACTGGGCCTTCAGATGCCTTCCCTCATGCTGGGGCACGGTGGGGCACAGTGTCACTCACAACGGGGCCTTTTTTACAGACTTTCTTGAATTTCCTGCAGAAATCCATCAGGCAAAGTTAGTTGCCAATGATTCAAAATGAACAACCATGAAGGGAAAAACATGCGATCTGTCTTCCGTCTACAGCATTCTTAAAAATAGTGTATGTGTGGGGGAAGGAGAAAATATATTTCAGTTTTTTTCTCCAGGTCATAGAATGAATGATATTTTCTGGATTGTTTTGCCACCTGAAAATACTGAATTATCTGTTGTGTAGGTGAGGCTGGACTATGTTGAATTCTTCCCTATAGAAAATCAGAGAACATCGAGGGTATGTTGGGTCCAGCATCCTCATTTCCCCTGTGCCTGAGTTTCATCTTCTTTCCTTTCTAACTATCCTTCTCTCTGTTTTGCCTGTTCTCATGCCCATGCATGGTGGAGAAAGACACATGTCCTTATGACATGAAAATATGAGAGTCCTCAGATTCTGTGCTAGCTGTCTGCATCCTGGGGAGGAGGTTGTAGTACCTGTCACACAGGCTTCACTTACCAAAGAAGACACAAAGCATCCTCAATGCCTATCATGTGTGGAAGAGCCAGATAGCAAGGACCCAGAGGCGGCAAATTAAGGGTGGAAGAACCTTGACCAAGGTGCACAGCAGGGCACGTTTGTAGTCAGCTCTCTCCTCTACCTCTGTGAAGACTGGTGGTCCTGGTCAGAGTCTGGCTGTCAGAACATGAAGGCACTAATGGGAGGGAGAAAGAAGGGAAGGAAAGAGGCAGAAAAAGGAATTAAGGTGTGTAATGTACATCTACCAAATTGACACAGAGAATGTAAACAATGTGTATTGCTAACATAAACAAATAAGTGAATGATGAATGAGTGAATGAATGAATGAATGAAAAAGGAGACCCTGGCTTTGGGAATGGACAGGAAATAACATCTCTAGGTATAGGAATTTGAAATCAAATCAAGGCTTGCCCAAGAAACAAGCCTTGCAGTGAAGTTACTCGGGAGAAGGAGAGCAGGAAGTATATACAAGTCCTCCTGGTGTGGCCAAGCCCAGCTCAAGGAACACGAACTAAGAGAGAAGCGCCTGGGACCACAGCATTCCCTACTAGGTACACTCAAAGGACTTCACCCATCTCTTCAACCAGGTTACTCAAAGAGCTCTCACGTCCCTTCCTTTGTTCCTTGAAAGCTGCAGTAAGTTCACTAATCACATGGACCCCGATGGATTCAGAATAATTGTCATTGCTCTACTTGGAGATCTCTTTCTCTCTTCCTCATGGAAGAGAAAATTATATTATTATATAAATATAAATTATAAATTATGATA